TTTACCCCAAAATGTGCCAAACTCCATGACTCCACAGCCCTGCTTTTTACCGTAATATCTTGAAACTATCACTATAATATCTGATTCACACTGATAAAAAATAAACCATTAATTTATAATAAAAAAATTGCTTAGAATGAAATTGTGTTATGATGAAGTTTGAGAATATGAAAGGTCATCTATATCTTCTGTAGGAAAGATGGCAATACTATTTGTACACTCTTGTATTTTTATGAAAGTAATTTTTTTTTATAATCTGTGTGTATTAAATTTTATAGGTCTATATAAACTTCAGATTGATTTATATCAAACATGCAAAGTTCCTGCCGTACAGTCTAGTGCCTGGGCTGCCACAAAAGTGATTTTAGATGAACAGTTAGAAGGAATTAAAAATGCAAAAACATACAAAAGTGAAAGAATCATAACCTCAAAACAAGCAGCTCATATAAATGTTCAAGGTGTACCTAAACCTGTAATAAACTTCTGTGCAAATAACTATCTTGGTCTGTCTGTAAGTAAATGGAGTTTTATATTTTCTTTGGCTAATGATTATGGTGAAGTAAAATAAGATTGTTTACAAATACATGGTGTTTATGACAGGCTTTAAATACATTATATTTTAATGTAATTCTTGAATTATGAAAGCTAAGCTTAATAATAGATTAACTAATTAAAAGAAAAAAAAAACAGTTTGATGCAATGTTTTGTACTATATTTTTTGGGATAAAGAAATTCTACATTGTTTAATAGTATAATTATAAATTGTGAAGGCTATATTTCATAGGCATTCAAATGCTTTATTTTTAGAGTCACCCAGGTATAATCGAGGCAGGGAAAAGTGCTCTGGATGCATATGGTGCTGGTTTAAGTTCAGTTCGCTTTATTTGTGGCACGCAGGTATTTATTTATGCATTCTTAAAGGTTCCAGTTATGTATTTTTGAAATGATATATAAATTTGTAAATGTTTATTTAAAAAATATAATTTGTCTCTTTTTAAAAATTTAGAGGTTAATTAACCTATGAGTATGTAAAGCTGTTATCTTTATTGTTATTTACATCCCATTATTATTATTATCGGTTTTGAAATACTTTTGAATAATTTTTGTTTTGTTATAAAAGCATGTTATATTTGAAGACTGTGTGAATAATATGGTCTTGAAATAAAGAGAAATTTTTATTGTGTATTATGTTTGTTTAAAGCTTTGATAAATGCAGTGAGAATATTTAATGTGATATGGACAATGAGAATCGGGTAGATACCACTATGATTTCTACACATCATTGGTATTTATCGCATGTTTGGCATTATTCAAACTTATTGATAATTGCAGCATAATAATTAGCAGAAATTGTGGTATGTCTCAGAAATGGAATTCTGTGATTTTTCTGTTTCTAAGAAATGGTCGCTGCATCAGTCAGAACAGGTTGGGTTCATTTTGGAAAAGTGGAAATTAGTTATTTCTGAGAAATATTTTCGTTTTTGATTGTTTTGGACATTACCTCTTTTGCATACTTATAGATTAATTGATAAATATGTTGCACTAGTCTGGAAAATTCTTTAACTGATCAAAAACAAATTTAAGTATTAATTGCTTACATATGCTGTCCTAGAAGAAAAGAAAGAAAATTCAAGATAAATTAATATTTACAGTGTAATTTTAGCAGTGCATTGCATAAAATGACTATAAATATATTTCTACACTTTAAAATATAAAAAATCAAATGAAAATTTTTAGGTAAAAATTTGGCAAATCAATAAAAATAATTTGTCTTCCACTTCATGTCAAATCCGTTACCTTGAGATTATTTTACCCCCAATTAGTTTGTAAATCTGCTTCAAGGGGGGGCAGTACCTATTCAAAGTAGTCAAACTTAGCTTGACTAGTTTATTTGTGTCACTGAATATATATTGCCCCTTTTAGACAGATTTGCAAACTAATTTTGGGTGAAATAATCTCAAGGTAATGGACTTGACATGAATTGAAAGACAAATTATTTTCTATTGATTTTTTGAAGGAAAGAAAACTTCTGTAATTAATTTTTATCATGAATATAGCACACTAATAGTTCATATTTAAAATAATTAAACTTTTTTATTTAAAAAAATAAATTAGGTTACAAAGCAAAGAGGGTGAATAACATGAAACTTGAAAGGGACAGGCATTTTTGCCTTGAGTCACACATTTTAAGATTTATGCCTCAAAAATTTTAGTTGATTTTTCTTTATATTTTGAATTGTAGAAATATATGTACAGTTATCTTTATGCATTGCATTGCTCAAATTAAACTCTAAACATAATTTATCTTGAATTTTCTTTCTTTTCTTCTGAGACAGCATATGTAAGCAAAATTTGAAAATGGGCCTTACTCTCTGCTCTATTGTCCATTTCTCTAAATTGTCTTCCAAAACAGGGCCAGGATATGACACTAGTTCGACGTGATGTTTTATTCTTAAGCATTTGCTCTAATTCTTCTTGTTTAGATTTCCACCGCCGAATGCTTCGCTCGCCAACTTGAAATTCTTTAGCCACAGCAGATTTCCAATTTTGATTGCTTTCTTCACTGCCGAAAGCTTGAAAGCAGCTGTATAACTTTTTGGCTAATCTTTGGAATATGGTAACAGGTAGTTTGGCGACGTTTTAGTAAGGCGATAAAGGTTACTAGCTAGGACTTTAGCAGTGTAAATGGATAAAGTCAAGAGTGTGCACAGTGCCATTTTTGTGGCAATTCTGGATTGTTTTTTAAGTGAAAATAGGTCGCGTGTACATGGATGATACCGTGTATGTGCATTCTTAAAAAACGCGGCAAGCACTTGCAATTCTGCAATTTCTCCCAATTTCGCACCTATCTTTGTCAGATTAAGCACTTTTGCTCCATAAAAGTTTTAGCATAAGCGTTTAATTGGCGTAAAATGGCGTCCAAACAAAAACTAGCAGGTTGCTGTAGCAGGGTTGGGTGCCAAATTTTCTCCAAAAAATCACCAAGTTACCATAATCCAAAGATTAACCAACTTTTTCTTTAAGTAGGAGCCATAATAATATTTGTAAAGCATGAATGATAAGGTAAACAAAAAACAAGCTACAAAGCAGTAAAACTTTATAAGAATGAACACAGCACTTGGCAAGTAAATGTAGCTGTTTCCATTAAAAAAAAGAATTGTAGGAAAATGTGGGCAAAACCATGGAGTTTAGCAGAAAGTACATGCATTACGGTGTCTTTGCACAGAGTGCCACGTACCTTAGGCGAGTTTGAACTTATTGCACTGCCTTAGTGCAATATGAGGTTAAAATACTGCAGTAAATTCTAATGTAACCGTTTTGCTTGTGCATAACTTATGATCTGAACTAGCGAAGTTTTAAGGACAGAGGAAAAATAAAATTGCTTTAGATACGCCGCTCCGGCAGATACACCACAGATCTAAATTTTCAACTTTTAAACACACGTAAAGCCATGGCTTATCTCCCTGAAATTGCAGTAAATGGTACTTTTAGAATTATTTGATGGTTAATTTTTTATCAATGGTAACTTAAAACATTCTTTGAAAAGAACTTTGGTATCAAGCCTTTCAAAGTTGTTAATATATTGAAAAGTTGTACTTTTAAAGTTGGTAATAGATTCATCGGCTGTAAGATTGATGTAGCATTAGGAGGCAAGAACTTAATATTGATGTAGTTGAACTCTTCTTTCTGTGGTAAATATACTGGAGCATTCAATCATATGGAGGACTTTTTCAAGTAGATTCTTTTCTTGTAGATCCTATTTTACAGTGGAAGCAAAAACTTCTGCCATACATTTAGAGAAGAATTGTATAGTTGTCTAAGCTGTGTTGTTATGTCAGCATATTACATGAAATTTGTGTTTATTAGCATTTTGTTCTTTAAAGACTTGCAGAGTGATGATAAACCTATAGAAGTTTATGTTTAACAGACTATCATTGCCATTAACACAAAAAAAAGTAAAGTTAAACTTTCATTGGCTTATGTCATGAAAATATCATTTCCTATGTTGTGATGAATGTTCTTTGAGATATTTTTCCTCAGACAAAGACCACCCTTATTATAGCTGAAAACTTGTTCTGGTCTGTAATCTTCTGACTTCTTCAGTTTCATGAATTCCTTAATGCACTTTTTGTCAACACTAATGTTTTCATGTCTGACAATACTGTAGCTACTAATTCTTTTCTTGAAATTCTCAAACCATCCTTCATTAGCTTTAAATCCTATACCTAAGTCTTTGCTGATGATAGTAAATGGCAACTTCTATTTAAGGTCATGCTAAATAGCTTGTGCTTTTAAAATGATCATGTCAAAATACTTTTTTAGTTGTGTATCGTTATCACAGATATGTAATAAAGTTTTTATTTCTTCCATAACTTAATTTTTGCTGAATAGATACTTCATTAGCCGTATTCTCAGTTCTTCATAAAAATCAACTTTCAACTTTCTTTGACATTGTAACAATAGTTACATTGCTTGCACAAATCACTTTGCATGGTTCCTTTTTCATAGTTTTTCATAATTTCCTTCTTAGTTCTACCACATTTTCTAGCATGATTTTCTTCTCCTCCTCCTTAGCTTTCTTTGGCCATATACTGAAAATAAATATTTATCAGAGAAATGGTGCATAATTTATAGATTATTCAGAAAATAAATGTAATACAGTCAAAAGTCGTTAATCCGGACTCGTCAGGACTTTCGGCGATTCCGGATTATTGATTTTTCCGGATTATAGATCATCAGTTTAAATCTCGTAAGATGGCCCATGCAGAAATTCTAAAATTAAAAATATGAAACCGTGATTTGTTAAATAATGCAGCTTTTATGATCAAGAACCATAAATGCCTCAATAATTACGAAAAAAAAGGGTATCAAAATTTACAAAAAAAATAAGCTTATGATTTATTTGTTTACTTTATTAAACATTCTTTCAATGTAAGTTGTTTAAGTTGCTTCGTTTTTTTGTGATAATACTTTCTCTTTAATTCTGCAGACAGACATAATTTCTTGTTCAAGTTACAAAGTTTTGCTGTTCAAGTCCCGTTAATTGCTGTGTCGAGAATACCGACTAACTTGTCAATCTAAATTTTTTTTTTTTTGTTTTCACTAAACCTCTCTGTCACATTCTTCATGTCTTTATCCATTTTTTGCAGCAATTCCACTTTTTGTTTGTTGGACATCGAAACATACTACATTTAGTAATGAACTATAAGCCGAATAAAATAAAAACATCTGCCCTGAAGATAACGATAGTGCTGACAGATCAACTTCCAGTTCATTGCGCGCCGCGACGTTCCCCTTCCCCGCAGAGCAACGTGAAATTGATAAACAGATTTCGGAATGGTTAGAGAAACAAAGGATATGCCTCTATCCATTTTTTGGAGAAATTCCACTTTTTGTTTGATTGACATCGAAACATTCTTTCGCTTTGTAGATCCTTTGGGAGTTCCGGCATCGGAAATTCTATTTGACATAATCGAAAGTTTAAGTTTACTTTTATAAAATTGCTCTTACAGTCTGAAAAAAATAATAAGCGGGATCCAATTCGAAGATTAAGGAACAACGCAATCATTAACATTAACTGAAATAGATAATTAGATAATTTTAGCTTACACCATCCGTTATACATTAAACGCGCAGGCGAAAACGTATTCTGCACTTCCGCACACGCATATGCACAGAAGTCAAGGTCTTACGCGCACGCATAAAACATGTGCCAACGCGGCGCATGCGCAGAAAGTTCTTAGCTTTGAGGTCCGGATTATAGATCATTCCGGATTATGGGTGTCCGAATTAACGACTTTTGACTGTACTGCTATGAAACCCATACTCCTGGAAGGTGCCAGCTGTGAAAATCCAGAAATCTTCAGATAAAAACAGCGGATCATTCAGTTTCTGCCACTCATGCAAGCATTTTTGCATCCAAGGCACCATACATTAGTATATTACAATCACCTATGTTAATACTAGTATTATAATCTAATGTAACGACTTGCTTAAGCCAAATCAGAAATTATATTTATAAACTGTTGCTCTTTAATTTTAAAAAATAAATACATAAAGCAAATGTACCGTAATTTCCGGAAGAAAGGCCGCATCAGCATAAACGCCGCACTCGAGAAAAATGGCGGGAAAAAAATTAAAATTACACAGAAACGCCGCAATAAATTAAATTGCGCGTGACATCGTCAGGGGCCGTATAGATGCAAAAACTCAACCTAAGTCCTGATATATGACATACCAGTTAAGAAAAATGCATGAAATGAAACCATAACTCTAAAATAAATTAAAGGTAAGAAATGTATAGCTTCTGTGCCGTTTAGAGACATTTTCAAAAATTTTCCGCTCCCTAATTAAAAACTATCCAACAAGTACTTGTACCCTAACTGATGGGATCTGTATTTGGCAGAATGGCAAGAAAAATCCATTCATGCTGAAGGGGAAATATGTCAGAGTTCGTTATTGCGAGGCAGGTGGAGTCGTGTCCGCCTTTGAAAAAAATTGCAGAAAAGGCAGGGGTGGAAAGAGGATGGGTCCTGGAAGATTCATCGAATGGCAGAGGAGAGAGACTATTCAAACTGATGAGAATGTTGATTTGAAAGGAGGAAGAATTTTATTGTTCTGAGATCTTGTTTAGGGTGAATAAGGCATGTAGGTTCGTTCAAGGGAAAGAGCGTAAACAAAATAACGTTCGCAAAATGCAACTGAGGGGTCTTTTGTGTGGGAACAGCATCAATCTATGCACAATGACAAGGCTATCCAAACTATGTACAATGACCATCATAGGAAATATTTTATTTTTAGTGCACCTAAACGCCGCATGGGTAGAAATGCCTCACCCGCTGAAAATTTAAGTTTTTAACATGTAAACGCCGCGGCGTTTCTTCCGGAAATTACGGTAGTAAATAAAAAATTTTTTTTTAAATCTTTATGAAGTTTATTGTTTGTTTAACAAATAAAAATAAAAACTGCAAAAAGTGTTTATTACACATTAGATAGAGAACAACAACTAAATTACACTATACAGAAGATTTACTGATGTATTATAGTACATGTTGCATGAAAAGAATGAGACAGTTATATATCTCCCGTTCTGGTGGACTGATTGTCAAAATTTTTATTCTAACATAAGTATTTTGACACAAATCACACTTTTTCTGAAATAACATACCATTTTTTTTCTATATATTTCAATTCTATGACTCAATTATTCCAATATGTTAAATTTTGTAATTTTTGGTGAGAAATTTAAAAATTTATCTTGCCACATTTTTTTCAATTTGCTCCAAGAATAATTCATTTCTTGAACTTCTTAGTTTATAGCAACTGTTTTTCTTTCCTTTTTTCATTGTACACGAGTAGAGAAAACGTTATTGTTCATACTTTCAAATAATTTTAACAAAGTGCATAAACCACATTTGGGGTTATTATCACTAAATGTGGTTATTTACCTTAAAACCCATTTAGAAGGATTTTTAAACAATAATTCAAAAATATAATTATTAAAATGGAGATTTTTAATAACCTCCCCTAAGTAAAATTATTAAAATTTTTTTAATTTGTTACTTAATTTATTAAATGTAATTATAAAAAAATTAATCTTTTGATATCATAAAATTTTAATAGTTTAAAAAATAAGGCAAATTTTTTAAAATCTAGTATAATAAGAAAATAGTGTCACATATTAAAATTTCAAAATAATAATGATGATTAGCATTTTCTATATGATTATAATGCACAAACTTCTAGCTGCACTAATGAAAACCTTTATTCGTAAAAAAAAACTTAGTGTAAAATTTTAAAATCATTAGCACTATTTATTTGAGTTTTGTTTCAGCGAAGTGACTGTAATTTAATGCTTTATGATTAAAAGAAAGTAATGATCTAGTTTTATTATGGATACACATCTGTTAGAGATCACAATTTTGAGTTTTTTGACTGATGAACATAATATTGACAGAGAGTGAAAATAAATTTATCACTCACAAACTTGAAGCACATTCTTTAAAAAAGAGATTAACAACCTTGAAAAGTAGTGGAAATGTGTAGTTTATATCATTTGGTATGAAAATGTTTGTACCCTCTATTGTTGAAAACACTCAACTTGGAGTACTATGCTGGATTAAATTTTAAAGCAACTGCTGCAGAACAATGGTACATTTTTTTTTTTTTTTTTTTCATTTCTGGATGTTTTTGAGTCAAGAGCAATGTTTCATATGAACGTAGAATAAAATAAAATTAACAGTCATAAGAAAGCTTCTATCCTTATTATTAACCCTTTTTATAATGCTACAGATGAATTTCCATATATCCACACTTGAGGTGCTGCCAACTAGCTGTAATAATGTAAAAATAGTGATTGATTGATGTAGATCCATAATAAAGAGCAATTTGGCAGGCATATTAAATATTCCTTTTAATTTCAATTGAGTTAGTGGCACAATTCTGTTGGCACTCTAATAGTGAACCAAAACATTCACATTTTTTATATTGTTGCAATGAGAAAACAGCAGCACTGCAGCATCTTAATAGCAAGAGAAGTTAATAATAAGTATGTAGTTATCCGTTGTGGAAGTTTACTATAAGAAAGGTTTCGGTTCGAATTAGCTACATCATCATCATAATGTAAAAGACGTATGGTGTAGATTAATCTAGAATGATGCAATCCAGAAAAAGGTATTACTATTTTTAGAATAGAGAAGAGAATTACCCAAATTAAAATGAGGAATTAAGGGGCTATTGTTAATTTAAATGATAATTTGTGTAGTCAATTTTTTATCTTACATGTTCTCCCAGTTCAAAGACAAAAAGAGTGCACAAACAGCAACGACAGTATTTGTAAAGGTGACCGTTGAATTCAACATAGCCTTATTTCACAATAAAGCAAGCTTTAGTAAGCATAAACATGCTCACACATTATTATGGGTGTACTATGCACCCCACAATTTTGTATAGGTCACATTATCTGTTAGACAACAGCTAGTAGAGGCTAAGCAAGCACATTGCCAGCAGGAAGGGAAGTGATTCCTTAACTTTGAAAAGAATACCATGCTTGCTGTTCTGTAGAAAGCAGGTCTCAAATTGAATTTTCTTATTTTTTTTTTCAAAATGCAAGGGAGTAAAATACAGCAATAATAGTGAATTTGTATCTTTGTTCACAAAAGCGAAAGCTAGCTTATCAAGTATCAGTCCACTGCTTGCTATTCTGTAGAAAACAGATCCTAAATTTTAATCTTAATTTTTATTTATTTATTTTTTGATGCAAGGAAAAATTACAACAATAATAGTTAATTTATATCCTTGTTCATAAAAAAAAGGCTTATCAAGAATTAATCGGAGTTACATTAAAGGAAAGCACAGATATTATGAGTGTCTTGGTATATCATGCTTATTGTTGGAAATGGCATCACTACACCAATGAATCAAAAGCCAGATAGAGAAGTTATGGGGTGCCAGAGAAAAACGACTAATGTCTGTTCAGAAAGCTAAGGACGGTGTTTGCACGATGTAGTTAGATAGCTATTTCTTATTAATTTGACTTGTACTTAAGTGTAAATAAACCTTAAGTTTAAAAGATTTGAAGTGCTCCATTTATGATAAGATAGTTGTTAATTCATTGGGTAGATGACTTGTGAATCCTTTCTGAGCTAGTCATTGTTTGAAACGTAATGCATTACTTAACATCTATCCATAATAGGTGCTAAATCATGCTCTTTGGTGACAGTTTTATTGTCAATGGGATTATACATAAGGACAGTTTTATATTCATTTTTATTGAGAAAAACCTTAGCAATTATATTTGAATTTCTAACTTTTTTTTTTTTTTTTTTTTTGTATTATGCGATATAGAAAACATGCACTTTTGATCTATTTTGTTGAAAGAACCTTGAATACTATTATTGCAAAGAGCATAATTTTTTTAGCCTATTCCAAATACTGCTGTTTGGAACTATAAAGCAGTGAATTATTATTATAATTATTATTTTTTTTCAAAATGAATAAGAATTGCTTGTATGAAGGATGCACAATTTCATGAAAAAAATATAACAGAAAAAGTTTTGAGGTAATAAAGTTTATAATTTCTCTGTAAAAAAAAATTTCAAAAATTATTTTATAAAATTTTTTTAATCCACTTGTGTTAATTAGAAGAGTTTTGTTAAAATAGAATGAAATATGTACATATTCCTAACATTTGTAAAAAAAATTTCGATTCATATTATTCTCATTTTATTTATCTAATCATAAGAATATGTATAATTTTAATAATATATTTTATTCTTGTGCTGTTTATTACTTTATAGGATTTGCATAAACTGTTAGAGCAAAAAATTGCAAAATTTCATGGTCGAGAAGATTGTATAATATATCCCAGTTGTTTTGATGCTAATGCTGGTCTCTTTGAAGTTCTGCTGACTTCTGAAGATGCTGTATTGTCAGATGAATTAAATCATGCATCCATAATAGATGGAATAAGGCTTTGTAAAGCTCAAAAATTCCGTTATAAGCACAGAGACATGTCAGGTGGGTAAATACCGCATTTTATTTATGTATTTTCTTTTTTTCCATGTAAAAGTATTACAAGCACCTACTGAAATAGGATATGCTCAGAATATTTTATAAACTTTTCTGTTAAAAATATGCTGTTAATTATATCTTAATATTAAACTGCATGCTCTTATAAATTTTTGCATAGTAAGTCTATCAAATACATTCTGAAAACTATTAACATTGCCTCACATAATTTAATAACTGGAGAATTGGAAATGGTACTTTAAAGTCCATAATACAGTACAAAGTCCAAAATCCAGACATCCAATATTCAGAATGATCTAAACTCTGGACCTCAAAACTACCAACAACATTTTTCTCGTATGCTTTACGCATTCACATTTGATTCCCCCCTCTGTGCATAATAAAACATCTGGAGTCCCGATTCTTAATTTCACTTTGACACTAAGTAAAATACCTTGTTATTGAAGAAACGGTCATTTTAGCGTAAATTTGTACAATCAGTAATTTGGCTCCATTGGTGTGTATCTGCTTGACACACATCTCAAACCGAAATATTCCACATAGATACATCGTAGATTTGACGCCAACCTGGCGAATCATTTTTTATTATACTTTTCTTTCATCACCACATGTTTATCAACACATGACAGCTTGAGTAATGACTCGTGTAGCGATGCCTAAACAATTTTTTTATGTTAGCAATTGAATAATAAAGGAGTATGGTAACCTTTTATGTTGACAGTATGCTTGGCAATGATTACAGATTTAAGTTAAATGTGCTTGAAAAAAGCTGACAAGGAAAAATTTAACAAAAAATTTCTTTCCATATGCTAAAAATAGATTTTGTTGATGATACTCATAGACCCAAAGATTACATTTAGGGCTATTTGAATTAAGAATAACTGATTTGTTATTCACATAAACCCAGAACCAGCGGCTGGGCTCGTATGGCCGCACCGAGTTGCATCAGGCGGTAAGATATCTAGTGCTGGCCCTCAATAAGGCTTAAGTATATGTGGGAATTTATTTATTCAGAACTCTGATAAGCCTTAAGCATGTGCAAGAAATAGACATAAGTATAAATAAATAACTAAACTAATAAAATTCAGGCTTAATTGTCCTAGTGCACAATAGAAGCAAGATGAAATTTAGCGGAACAACTTGTGGTTAGTCACCAAGCTCATGATGCATAGCCAAATATGTATAGTGAATGATAGCTGAATTTGATGATGACAGCCGCAAGTTTTAAAAGTTTTTGGATATTGCAAAACAAAGGTGAAATTTTCCAATTGTCGGATTTTTTAAAGAAATGTGGAAAAGCGGTAATAAATGAAGATGATAAAAAGTGTTTTTCATTTTGATGAGAATGCTTCTCGATAATCAATTAATGAATTGCAAAATCTGTGGATTGTTCTAGATCTAGAAATTACCACTACTAATAGTGAAGAAAGGGACAGAGAAGTTACTGAAAACGAGAAAATTTTGATTGACAAGTTAGTTTGAATTCTCAAAACAGCAGTTACAGGATTTCAACAATGTAACTAAACAAGAGATTATGTCTGTCTACAGAATTAAAAAGAAAGTATTAGTACAAAAAACAAAGCAACTTAAACAACTTACATTGAAAGAAAAATTTAATAAGGTAAACAAATAAATATTAAGCTTTTTTTTTTTTTTTTTTTTTTGTAAATTTTGATACCGTTTAGATCATAAATACTTCATTATTTCAGAAACCATGATTTCATATTTTTAATTTGTAGCCATCTTACTAGATTTAAACTGATGATTTAAACTGATCTGGAAAAATCCCAAATCTAGAATCATCAAAGTCCTGACGAGTTTAGATTTCGGACTTTGTACTGTAGTTTTTAACAGAGAAGTGGAACTGATAATTTATTTGAAACCTATAACAGTTTTAATAAACAAATTTATTCAGATATAAATTAAATTGTGTTTCAGTTTAAATAAACTGTTTTAAAATATTCAATGCTTAAATTATATTAAAATATCCAAAGCTTGTAAATTGTAATACAGTCGAAAGTCTTTAATCCGAACTCGTCGGGATTCGTCGGCGATTCTGGATTATCGGTTTTTCCGGATTATAGATCATCAGTTTAAATCTGGTAAGATGGCATGCAGAAATTATAAAATTAAAAATATGAAACTGTATTTATGAAATAAAGAACCAATTATGATCTAAAGGGTATCAAAAAATTTACAAAAAAAAAAAAAAAAAGGCTAATACTTATTTGTTTGCTTTATTAAACATTTTTTTCAATGCGTGCATGCATAAAGCATACATTATGCATAGTCGAAATTAGAAAATTGCAACCAGAAAACTAGTTGATGTGTATTCGTGATATTTATAATGACGAGGAATTTGATTTAAATCATATCAAAGACGGAGTACATAGAGATGAAATACTACATTTAGTAAGGAATTATAAGCCGAATAAATAAAAACATCTGCCCTGAAGATAGGATCGTGCTGACGATCAACTTCCAATTGCGTGGGTCCCTCATCGACGAATCGAAAGTTTTAGCTTCTAAATTAATATTTGTTTGACGTGTTATTGTATCTTAATGTAGCATGTGTTAAGGTTATTTTTATTATGTCTAGACAAGATGTTTATTTTACATTAAGCCACAGAAGTACGGATTTTTATAACAGTGTTTTATTTACAGAGCTGTTATGCCAGCTTGTAGCTAAAAAATGCATTTTTTATTATCCTTTGCTATTTATAATGATGAGATGCAACAGCAAATAACAAAGTCAAAAATACATATTGCTTTTCTTGTTATTGATCAAGGAATGCACAGTAGTCACTATTTAACTGTAATTAGGGGGAAAAAAACTAATGAGTATTGTTTTCTGATTCTTAAATATCACGAGGATGTATATGTGCAGATCGAAGTGAATTTATAGTTATTTATAGTGAATTTTAATTTTGATGCTACATAAATAGCATAAAAAAATCTTATGGTATTCATTTCAAGTATTTTTTTAAATACATTACAGTCAAAAGTCGTTAATCCGGCCTCGTCGGGACTTCGGCGTTTCCGGATTATCGATTTTTCCGGATTATAGATCATCAGTTTAAATCTCGTAAGATAGCATGCAGAAATTCTAAAATTAAAAATATGAAACCGTAATTTATGAAATAAAGAACAATTATGATCTAAAGGGTATCAAAATTTGCAAAAAGAAAAAGCTTAATATTTATTTGTTTACTTTATTAAACATTTCTTTCAATGTAAGTTGTTTAAGTTTTGCTTCATTTCATGTGATAATACTTTCTCTTTAATTCTATTGAACGACATAATTTCTTGTTCAGTTACAAAGTTCCTGCCTGTTCAAAGTCCTATAATTGCTGTGTCAGAACACTGACTAATTCGTCAATCGAAATTTTTCGTTTTCAATAACCTCTGTCACTTTTCTTCGCTATCGGAAGCGAATTATATGACGAGGAACTTGTTTTAAAAAAATCAATATCAAGAGGGAGCATATCAAGATGAAATACTACATTTGGTAAGGAATTATAAGCCAAATAAAATAAAAACATTGCGCTGAAGATAAGGATAGTGCTGACAGATCAACTTCCAATTCATTGCGCACCGCAGCGTCCCCCTCCCCCCGCCGAACAGCGTGAAATTGATAAACAGATTTCTGATTTCAAAACATGCTTTCGCTTTAGATCCTTTACATATTAACAAATATATATCGGAAATTCTATTTGATATAATCGAAAATTTAAACTTACTTTTATAAAATTGCTCTTACAGTCTGCAAAAAATAATAAGCCGGAACCAATTCGAAAATTAAGGAACAATGCAATCATCAACATTAACTGAAATAGATAATTATATAATTTTAGCTTATACGTCCATTATACATAAAATGCGCACACGAAAACGTTTTCTCCACTTGCGCACACTCACATGCACAGTTGTAAAAGGTCTTACGCGCACGCGTAAACGCCTGTGCGCATGTGTCAACGCGGCACATGCGCAGAAAGTTTTTAGTTTTGAGGTCCGGATTATAGATCATTCCGAATTATTGGTGTCCGAATTAACGACTTTTGACTGTATTACAAAATGCCCAGCTGCGGTAAGATAGCTTCCCTCCAAAGCGGGGTTAGGGTTGCCGGATTTGGCGCAAAATTGCCCGTTTGGTGACAAAATTGATGATATGTTATAGACCGAGTGAAAACATTCTAGAACGAATTCTTATCGGTTTTCCCGAGAATGCGCTCAAAGGCAGGTCAAAAGCTATATATACCCTGCCTTTATATGGAGTAGGAGAGTATCTTGAGTAGTAAATTGAGTTCAGTAGTAGTAGTATTACTTAAATCTCATTGCTCAGTAGATCAATATTACTTAAATCTCTTTGCTATTTAAATCCACATAAATGTGGGAAAAATATAAATATTCAAAATTTACAGAATAAGTTTTGCCAGCATAGGGCTAGTGAAGTGATAACAGAAGTGATGCAGTTGACTTCTGTTATAAGAAACTTTCAATTTTAAGGTGAAAAAAATAAGAGGTTTGTTGAAGAACATTAAAATGTATAGCAATTTTACAGAAAAATCAAATTTCAGATTATAAGAAAAACACAGATTTATTCACTGAACTGTGTTTATCCATGTTTTGTATCTTTTATCTTCTAATAAGTTCCAGAGTTTATTTTAAAGTAATGAATATGCTGATTTATCTTACAACCAAGAATTTGTGAGAGATTTACTTCATCCTGGTTTTTATTATGTATATAAGAAAATTCCATAATTCAGTATCATATTTATAATTTTTAATCTGTCCATGCAATAAGAATGTTCATTTTGTTAGCCATTTTTTTCGCTAATTGTCCTTTCGTAACATTTCATTCTCTCTTTGAAATTGAAATTTAGTGTTAAGCTTTTATGAGTGCATACAATATTCCAGAAAAGTATAAAGTTCTGCTAGCTGAGCATAAAATAAAATAAAATATCACTCATTCAAATATTCTCAAAATTTAATTAATTTTAAGCCAGTCTTGGATATAGAAATTGAAATGCATAATTTGTCTTTAAAAATACCACCAATTTTAAATTGAATTTTACTGTAACTTAATTTGTTGATGCTGTTTTTCCATAAATTGATAGTAACATAAAATCACAGAAATATGTTAAACCTGGCATTTTCACTTGTTATAGGATAAGATCTGAAAGTATTTTAAAGGAACTGAGAAGAGAAAAAAAATTGTTAAACTGTTTTTATATCATTGATCTCCCCCCCCCCCCCCGTACTGATAGTGAATGATTCTAAATTTATAAAAGTAACATTGCTATATTCATTTTAAGAATAATTTAACATGTGTATATAATATAGATTTAGAAAAGAAATTGCAAGAAAGTTCATCTGCTCGAATGAGATTAATTGCTACTGATGGAGTCTTCAGTATGGATGGAAATATTGCCCCTTTGCCGTAAGTGTGCCTTACATTGAATTATATTTCTTTTAAAAAGCTTATGAGAAAGCATTATGAAATTTATATTAGCATATTTTGTATTTTTCTACCATGTTAATAAATGATGTAATAATTAGTAAAGGTTTAATGGCATTATATATTTAACAGAACTGGCTAAACATGAGACAGATAGAAATATTAAATATGCATATATAATATTCTTTGTTTACATTAATAGCTATGCTTTCTTTTGTCCTCAATATCCTTAAAATTTTCATGAAAAGTGTTTCAGCATGTTTGTGTGGTTAATGAGAGGATTTTCCTTTCTTGAAAAATATTTACAGTGCTTTCCAGAGAGTAGGGAATGTTTCAAATTATCATGTCTAAAATTTCAAATTAATAAGATTTTATATAAAACGATATTTATTCATAGTTTAAAGAAATTAGTTGAATTTTTAAAATTAAAAAAAATTAAGAAGGTTACTAAGTTGCAGATTTTATTTGTTGCAAGTGGTAATACAGTCAAAAGTCTTTAATACGGACATCCATAATCCGGAATGATCTATAATCCGGACCTCAAGGCTACAAACTTTCTGCGCATGCGTAAATGCATTAATGTGTTTACGCAATCATAAACCACATTTGACAATTTATCGCATGCAACTCAATTAACATACAAATACTACATTTTTCAATAAAGTTTTCAAATATCATGTGTAACTGTAAACTATGTTAAATACTTTTTAAATTTTTAACAGTCTGATTTAACAGTCATTAAGCTAAAGCACTTTCCTTATTCAAAGAAATCAAAAATGAAAGCTGAGACCTCAAAACCAATATATGTTTCATTTTTTTTTTATTTTTGAGGGAAAAAATCTTCCTAAGCTTAATATACTTTTGCTAAAGATAGCATTAATTCTTTAATTTATTGTTTGTATTTATTTAATCTGTAATTTATTACCAAATTAAGCAATTTAAAAGTAAGAAAAGCATTTTTTAGTAGTATAAATCTATATTTTATTCCTTTGCAAAAATGTAATCTATGTAAATCAGAATAGTAGAATATGTAATTGGAATCAATAATAAAAGGTGTTTCTTATGCTATGTGCTTGGTACAGAATCATTTGGACTTTTGGGTTCTCAGAAATATTTTTCTTTTTCAGTGTGGTCAGAAGAAAGTCAATATAAGAAGTTCCATTGTTTATTTACTTATAACGTTCAGATAATATTTATTTAATATTGAATTAAATAATATTCTGCTAGAATTTAATATAAGATGAATTTTCCTATTCATGATCAACTAGATTATGTGATAATAAACTGGCTGTATAATATTTTTTCTTATTTAAAATTGATAAAGATATTAAGCTTAGTGATTTGTATTTTTCTGAAGTTTTAACTTTTTGTTTATTCATGACCGTTTTATTGTATGGTTAAATACTACAAAAATAAATAAAATAAAATAAATAAATAAAACTAATATCAAGATAAAAATAGAAAAGGCTTAAAAGGATCAAAATGTAATAAAAAAGAATTATAAAGGATGAACAAGATTTTTTATCATAAATTTATAACGGAAGAAATGAAATGCATGAATAAACCATTTTAATTTTGTGAGTTTTTATTCATTAAAGAAAATATATTGTGTTATGCTTTTCACAGGTAAAATGTTTTAAAGAGAAAAATGCATTTCTTACAATCAGATTTTTATGCTGTTAAAAAAAATTATCAAAATTAATGAGAAAAATAAATAAAATTTCAGAATAGAAGCAAAAAAAAAAAAAAAAAAAAAAAAAAGAGTTAACTGCTTACATCATATTATTTACTGTGAGGTTTGCAATATTGTAATAAATTGAAGCAGACAACTTCAGTTGCAGACCTCCATTGAGATGATTTCATTGAGAATTTCTATTTTGTGAAAAACATTATTATTGTACAAGTATATATAGCTGTTAAAAAAATCTTATAATAGTCCAACAAAATTTTAACAATATCTGTGGATGATTTATTTAGGTACAAGCTTTGAAACTGAGGTAAAGCTCATTAGTATGAATAAAAATGTGATCCATACTTTTCATGAGTATTTTCGTGTTATCAGTTATTAATATGTTAAAAATGTGTTTAAATAATTTTTAACAATTTTTTATAAATGTGCAATTTTTATAATTATTACTTTTATAAATATACATTTTTTAATACGTCCATAATGAAAGTGTTTTGAATGTTTTTCTATTTTCTTTCAGGGAAATTTGTAATTTAGCCAAAAAGTATAATGCAGTGGTGTTTGTTGATGAATGTCATGCCACTGGTGTAATTGGTAAAACAGGAAGGTAATTATTTCATTGCTGATAACTCATTTTGTTATATAGTTGTTTGTACACTTATGCTGCTTTAACAATTCAAAAATTGGAAATTTTGTTTTATATGTCCAGTAATAACAATCCTAGTTTCTAAATGTATACTCAAATTTAGGGAGGGGGAAATGCACTTAGCAATATTTATTTTTCATATTTTTGAACCATTTGCATCCAACCTGTAACGTTTTATATAATTCATATACCTGAATTTTATTTTGCATCTTATGCTTGAGTTATTAAAAAGTAAATTTTTGCATTGAATCCATCCGCAGCAAGTGGATTCTATGCTTGTGTTATTAAAAAGTAAATTTATGCATAGAATTGTGAGTTTCATTGTTATTTGCTAGGGTGGAAAAATATGTGCAATCATATTTCACTAAACCCGAAAAGAATCTAATTAATTGGAAGTTTGACTTATTGAGAAGTTAATATGAATTTTAATTTTGGCTTAACTGAAAGTAGTGAATTATTCAAATTTTATTACTTTTTTTTATTATAATAAACACTTTAACTTCAGGCTCTAAATTGAATCCATATGGCAGGTGCAGATTTTCATTAATAACTCATTAAAAATTCATTTGCTTCTTTTGTACTTCTATAAATAGATTTTGTTACATACAAAATTCTTCAAACAATGAATTATTTCTCCAAGCAATGAAGTCTTTATGGCAGACTAACATAATCAGATTCATAAATAACTCCAGTACTTGAGTGATGTTCTATTTATTAATTCTTGAAAGAAGAATGCTTGAAGTCCAGATTCATTTGCTTATATTTTCAATTCAGAGCATTTAGCACAGCTGTAAATTACACATGCTGTGCATAATTTTTGTACGTTACGCAGCCAACATAAGCTGCTGCTTTTATCAAATATGCTTATAAATGGCATAATTCCAAAAATGTGTTTTCTTTTAAACAGTTTCTTTGCTATTGAAAGAAATTATACAATTTACTGTTCTCATATTTAGAGGCACTGAAGAGCACTTCAATCTATCTGGAAAAATTGATATCATAAATTCTACATTAGGCAAAGCATTAGGAGGAGCATCAGGTAGCTATTATATAATTTTTAATTAATCCTTTTTATAAACAAATTTAATTTTGTTGAAAATTATATTATTATATAATGAAAATTATATATGTTGAAAATTATAACACTATTATTTTGAGGATCAAAAATTATTTTATTTCAAATAGATGAATAAGAAAAAGTCTGCTAAAATATATCAAGAAAATTAACAAGTTGATCTTCTATTAAGGATTAACCAAGTTACATATACAATTTTGAAAAAGTATCAATTGTAAAACTGTAGTGTGGTAATAACATTTTTATATTATTGTGCATTTTCATTTGAATTTCATTATTGAAATATATTTAGTTTATTAATGGCTGATAAATAAAAAATAATAATTTTATTGTTATTTATACATCTGTTTTCAATTAATTTATATAGTCATTAGATTTCTGGCAGGTCAGTTAGTGATCATTACCATCTCAGGAACCAGGGAAACTCATTTAAGGCTTTACTGGCTGTAGTGGGAGGCACTTAATCTAGCTCAAAATTAATCTGGTTCCACTGTGCTATCTCAAATTCCCCCCATTTTATTGGAAAATTTAAGGTCTATTACGTTTAGCAGTGCTAATATTTTCTCTCTCTCAAAAAAAAAAAAAAAAAAAAAAAATCACTTTATTAAAATATTAAATCCACAACTACCTTTTTTAGAACTTCTGACGCAAAGCTTCTAAACCACTTCACATTTTCTAATGGTGTTGATTGCTTTGAAGATATTTTCTTTATGGCACTTTTCAATTTCTTGAACTGTTTCAACAAACACTTTAGAGCATCGATGTTCAACTTACAGGCCACACATGGTGCAAAACAAAATGTACAATAGAACCTTGATTGACCTGTTTATTTGAGACCATAATTACCTCAATTATCAAAGTACCTCAATTAATTGAAAACTCATAAGACTAGCCAGTTTTACTTTTGATAAAATTTTCTGAAATTGTTTATTTGAAATTCTGAAAATAAAGTGCTGCTATTAACATTTTAGAAAATTTCTGTATTATTAGATAAGATGTGTTTCCTTCAATTAAGCAAATAATCCATACAAGATTATTTTGTGGCAAAAATATTTGTTAAAAACAATAACCAAATGGGAAAACTGTAAACATTTGATGAAATAATCAAATTCCATTAAAAATAATGCAAATTGTAAAATTTTATCAAATTTCTTATATGCATTTTTAACTTTTTTTTTGAAAAATTTTGCATATTTTATAACAATCCTGTAACTCTGTCAGAAGTCACATGATCATGCCTTTTCAATCAGCAGAATGTAAAAAGAGAAACGTTAAGACATTGCCCTAAATATTAAAGAGCTTTGCTCAAGGCCCCATCGTTGCCCAAGCAGTAAAATGTCTGAATACTGATTGTTCGACCCATGATCAAATTACAATGAATGGAAAGGCTTCATGGGAGTTTTCATGGTTGTTTGTATGTGTAGTGTAAGTACGGGTAACCTTTTTAGAAGTGTGTAGTGACAGTCCTTTATGCTTTTCCACCCACATACATGAAAAGGCCAAAATCAAAGTTTCAGCAAAGTAAATTTTTACATCCTCTATTTCATAGTTATTCTTAGCATTGCTCTCATTTCTGAAATTTGTGTTATTTTGTAAGCTTCACTTGAAACTTAGTTCACGATTTTCTGCATTTATCCATTTCAAAATATCATCTCGAGTGATGCCTTTTCCTTGCTTGTAATGTCTGAAACATGTCTGTGAATTCATTATCAGTTTGTTTTCATCTTTAACATGTTTGAACCACATTTTATCATTATTGCATTTTATTATTTTATCACTAATATAGCTATTGAATTACTGACCACTGTCAAATATATAATCATAGATGCATTATCATTTATATATATATATGGCCCTAACTAATCTTGTATTGTGCATGTGCAAACTGTTGTAGTTGCATCAGTACATGACAGTTTTGATTTTAAATTATTTTATTTTCTAGTATACATTGATAGAATTTTATTTCCCATGTGGCAGAAACAAAAACAAAAAAATCAAATAAATAGAAAAAAATCTTAAAAACATAAACACAAGGTAGCCGACAAGCTTAGGTTATTTTGAGACAGGTAGGAAGAATAATAATTTATTGTGCAAAATGAACAGTGTTCAGCAACTTGTCTGTCTGCTTTGCTATGTAAGAGTAGCTTTAAAAAATACATCATTGGTCATCTTTATATTATGAAACACAAATCACTTAGAGACATTCTCTCTCATGAGTTTTTAACTAGAAAGGAAAAATTAGCTTTCTTGAAGAAGCCTGATCAATAGCAAAAAATAGAGGGTTGGTGCAATTTTACAAGAAGCGATGGTGATATGATCACCATGTGGAGTTTGTTGCATGCTTGGCAAACATAAATCATTTACTGATGTAGAAATGCTTCATCAATGCTTCCAATATATTATTTGATAAATTTATTAATAAAAACTGAACAACTGTAAATATTAAAAACATGCAACTCACAGATACTGCTTCTGCTTTGTGTTCTGAAAATACTGCAAAACATGTTTTTAATCACATCGTAGAAGATTTTAAAAGTTATATATATATTATCTTAGCTTTTGATTCTGACATTTATATTTCAGCAGTATCTCATTGTTTTGTTTTCATTAGATACTGTACTAGTTTTTGAAGATTTTTTGAAATTTCTTCCTATGAAGAATCAAAACAGAGGCAAATATTATATCAATATTGTGAATATATCTTTGGAAAAGAATTATATTGGTATACAAAAATCATTTATGTGTGTATAGAGATAGGTGTCTGTCAGTGACGTTTCTGAAAAAAGAATTATTGTCTGTCAGTGACGGTTTCTGAAAAAAGAATTATTTTCGTATTAAAACAAAAATGTAATTTAACCAGTCTGTTATAATTTCCCTTATTCTTCACCAAGAAAATAATGTGATATGTGTCACTATGCTTAAACTAGAAAACTGTAACGATATAGTGAATTTTCTTTATTCATGAGACCTGACACATAGAAACGTTTAAAACCTGTTAGAAGAAGTTGACAAAATAGAAAGGTCCTTTTTCGTATTTTGGTATGATGATTAATCACAGGAAAAGTTCTATATATTTTTTTTTTCTTTACAACAAGGAATTATTTTTGCAAGAAAACAAAGTGTATGGTGAATTTGAAGTGATGGATGGTGTTTTTTTTATTCTTTTTGTATGACATCGAAGAAAAACTGAGCAGTCTGAATTGCAGTTGTCGGCTGAAAATAGTTATTTTGCAAATGCAAATATTGCATAATTTTTCAGCCTTAACTAAACAAGTTGGCATTCAGATACTGTCAAAAAACTATACAATAATTTAAAGTAATTTAGCAGCCTTATCCAAGAAATTTAAGAAGAGATTTCAATATTTAAGAAATATTAAGCTTGGGAAAACGTCGCTGCACGCAATGAACTGGAAGTTGATCTGTCAGCACTATGCTCATCTTCAGGGGCAGATGTTTTTATTTTATTCGGCTTATAATTCCTTACTAAATGTAGTATTTCATCTCGGTGTACTCCGTCTTTGATATGATTTAAATCAAATTCCTCGTCATTATAAATATCATGAATACACATCAAATAGTTTTCTGGTTGCAATTTTCTAATTTCGACTATGCATAATGTATGCTTTGTGCATGCGCGCGTTGAAAGAAATGGTTAATAAAGTAAACAAATAAATATTGAGCTTTTTTCTGTAAATTTTGATACCCTTTAGATCATAATTGCACTTTATTTCATAAATTACGGTTTCATATTTTTTATTTTATAATTTCTGCATGCCATGTTATCAGATTTAAATTGATGACCTATAATCCGGAAAAACTGATAATCCAGAATTGCTAAAGTCCCGACAAGTCTAGATTAAAGACTTTAGACTGTATTTTTTACTTTGTTTCTGTCCATGGAATGTAGCAAACATGTGTATGTAGCCTGAAATAAAAGATGTTGAGTATGGAGGCTTTTAGAAGTTCATCATAAGAGAAATTTTATCTGGGATTTGTGGTCTATGTTTATGTCAAAGTGAAGCAACGAGTTTCAATATCACATACCATCACTTAAATGGAATATTCTATCCCCAGATCTTTATCATGATTGCCCATCTTAAAATTGCTATCATATCCTACCAAATCTTATGTTCTTTTACATAAATGTTTTTCCGGAATATTTTGATATGTTGATAGTTTTAAAGTAATATATATATTTGTAATATATGTTTTTTGGGCTGACTTTGTAAAAGTATGAGGATATATATTCTCAAATTTCCCTCAGATATTAAATTTTAACTGTGATAATATATATAATTGAACCAGCATATTTTTTTGTTTTCATAAGAATTTTTCCTCTTTGATTTTTAGGTGGTTATACTACAGGGAAATCTGAACTAATTGATTTATTGCGTCAAAAGTCCCGTCCATACCTATTTTCAAATGCACTTCCACCAGCAGTTGTTGCTTGTGCATCAAAGGTAACAAAGAATTTTTTTTTAGGGAATACAGTGTACCAAGCTATAATCTTTTAATGTTCCAAGGTATCCTGATTAACCAATATCTATGTTATGCATAATTAAAATGAAAATAACTTTCCTGTTGATTTAGCAGACCTCAAAATATTTGAATTTAATTTCATAGTTGATTGTTAATTTTTGCTTATTGCTCTCAGTAACTAATATAGAGATGTAATTCTTTTGATGAAATTTAACAAGTTATCGTTGTTTCAAATTAATTTTTTTATTAATTGCATTTTGAATATAGATATAGCAAATATATGTTGGTAATGAAACCATTATTAAATTAAGGGAAAAGTAATTTTTGAAAGTTAATGGAATATCAATAACTTTGCATAACTTTATTTTAAAGTTCTCATTGCTGATTGAATTTTCAACCCCAAAATAAAATATTACAGTGCTTCACAAAAATATTAAAAAATAATGTTCGTATGAAAGAATAATATCGCATAATTATGTTATTTTTATTAGAGCGATGCACTGTTATCAATGTCTACAATTTCAGATAAATGTGGCATTATTCAGTGCACTGATGAGAGAGATGTATTACTTTCACTACCATTTCATAAATTTCAGATGCATAACTCTCAAATATAATATGCTTGCTACATATTATTATTTATATAATATGCCTACTTCATTATTATTTATTTCTCTATAAGGTCTGTTTAAGATACAGTCTGCTTAAAAAAAATTAAATTTTTATTAAAGATTGGTATATCAAAGTGCGTAAGCCACATTTTGCGTTTTTATCGCTTATAACAAATATGCCAAGTTTTAAAATGCTCCAATATGTAAATTCACGTATGTGTTTAGGAAATTTTGAATAAAAATATCTGATTTTTTGCTGGTATGCTTAGAAATACATCTACCTTTAAAATGATGGTAAACATTTTTTTATGTTATAATTCAAAATTTTTTTGAAAATTTATAAAAATTTACCTAAGAGCACAAATTTTAAAAATTAATCATAAAAATGGGCGAATTTTATTTGGAATGAACCTAAATTTCAAAATGTGAAAGTAAGAATCAAATAAGTTTAATAAAAAGAGATATTAATAAATATATACCAAATTCAATTAACATGGACCAGCTGAAAGTTTGAGAGCTAATTTTTAAAAACTAATTTTTAAAAACTACTCATGCAATTTTTACGAAATTTGGCACCTTGGCATTATTTGTGTTGTAGTATCAAAATAAGGAAAACAATTGTTATGTTATTTCAGAAAAAGTCCGATTTTTGTGTCAAAATAGCTATGTTAGAACCATGCTATATATAAATCTAATATTAGCAAACATTCCTTGATTTACTTTTGGTTTTCAATATTACTATACCAATGCCTATATGGATGATGAAACATGAATTGAGTTAAAAAAAATTAGGATTAATTTTTTTGAATATTATATATTTATTCATGGTTTTAGGTACTTGCTTAATTTACATATGTTCTCAGAATTTAAATGATATTGTAAATTAGTTCACAGCAATAATTAATCATTTATTTGTATGAAATTAAAATTTCATATTTAAATTAAAATTTTAATTAACTTTAAATTTGCTTTATATGAATAGAGAATGTTTGTTAAATTCAAATTTCATTCCTTGCAGCAATGGCACAAGAGAATTATCTTAATATAATTTAATTTAACTTTAGTATTTATTCTTGTAAATCTAATAAAGACCTGCTTTTGAGATCTGGAAAACACAAGTTAAATTTTGACAATCGTCCAGTAAAACAGGAGATATAGAACTGTCCTTTTTTTTTTTTTTTGCAAGTTGGACCTGTGAACAATGAAATATAAATAGGCACAAGCATGATTTCAAAATAAAATATTTAGAATTGTATATAAAGAAATGCAGAACATATGACAGTAACTAGCAACTTGGAGGAGTCCCCCAGTGGGAGGAAAGTGCGGACAGTAGTGCGATGAAAGGAGAAATTCCAGTAAGAGGACAGTAGTGAGATGGAACAAAACCTGTAAATCCATAGGCGAAGTTCTGGTGTTCCATCTATTTTTTCCTGTCCCTGATTGGTATAGTGGTTAGTATACTGGATGCTGTACCAGTGGGCTCAGGTTTAAATCCTAGAGAAGTTATTGTTGCTTTTGTCTGTGCAGCTTTGGACACTCAATATTAGTGAGTCAAAAGTCTTTGAGTGGTTTGGTGGTAAAGGAAAGAAGAGTAAGAAACCCTCAAACCATCCATTGAGGTGCTCTCCATCAAAATTGGGACAGAGATGCATCGTTAGTTTGGCTATATGGCCAATAGTGAAACTCTGGTGTCCCTACCACATGTACCTGTCAGTCAGTGATTTTCATATATTATACTTTTTTGATATATATATATATATTATGCTGATGTTTTATTTAAAACAGAAATCTTTACATTTTAAAATAAATATTTAAAAGACCACTGGTCTGATTATTTTCCATCTCAGATGTTCACACGTCATAGCATATAATTTTACAGCAATAACAGACAAAACTTTTGCCTGATGCGGATCAGACAATCGCATGGTGCGATTTCTACCTACAACATTTTTCAGACAAAAGCCTCTTTTGTTGTTGTTGATTACTTACTGGTCATTTAGCGGACACTCGATGTTAGTTCCCATGAGAACAGGAAGTCCTCTAATTTAAACCTGACGTTTCATCAAACCTGAGGATTGTTACAATATATATATATATATGTAATAATAAAATTCCATAGTTAAGAATACACTTAATTCTAACTGTATGTTCTTTTCATTTTTTAATGGTGACGTTTCATTTATTGAAAGCACGTGGAATTAAATCCACAGCCCCGTAGTCACAAGTTTTTTTTGCCCACCTTTTCCCTACACGTACAGTTATAGAATGTTCTGGAATATTTAAAAGCGAACTGGGGGGGGGGGGGAAAAAAAAAAAAAAAATTGGCTGCGAGGCTGACGTTATTTCTTCTGGAATCTCCCGCCTTTCCAGAGGCTATAAAATGGACTCGGAAAAAAATCTGGGCTTTTTCTTTAATGTTCCGATGGCAGTAAACTTCATACAAAAAGTGTTAGTAGTCTTTTTATTTTACTCACTCCAGGATATCCTGATTTGTAACTGCTATTTTCCCCTGATATAATAAATGGATCCTTTTTTTTAAACTTTCGTCTGATAATTTAAGCTACGACACATTTATGATTCTTTCACCAGTCTTTTGATTCTGGAAAAAGCTGGTATCAAATCTATATATAAACATTTCAGGTAATAAAGCTAAGAATTAAAACAGTCACAACAAATATAATAAAGTGTTTGTCATTATTTCCTCTTGATATTCTCAAAAGAACTATTGAAATCATTGATTTTAAATTAGATTTAAATAATTAAAATATTTAAATTTATATATGTAATATTTTTATTATATGGTGCTGCTTTCTACAGTTAGTATAAAATTGAACCTAGTTTATATTATTCTTAAAGTATGTGTAACATTTCATGCAAGAATTTTTTTTAACAGAACTGAGCTGCCATTAATTCATTCTGATTTGAAGCAGAATATCCATTTTGCATAGTTGGTGATTACAGCATTTATTATCAAAATATCCCATTTTCATTCAGTCTTTCTTCCCCCAAAATTTCTGTATTTATCTAAGCTTACTAGTGTCAAGTGCCACATCTGAATAGCATATATTGCTGTCAGTGTTCTTGCAGCATTAATTTTATAAACTATATAAACTGAAGATTGATTGCTTAGGTTAATTTCATTAATAAAATACATAAAAGCATTGAAATAATTATTATAAAGTAATTCTTTAATTTTTAGTTTTGTTAATGTTTAACGATAGTTAAAATTAGATCTAAAAACAACTGATTTTAATTTTACTTCAGGCTGCAGAATTTTTAATACTGCTGCTTCTTAAAGCAAATTTTCTTTAAGTACAAACAGAAAAATAATCTGTAATTTTGAGCAGAACATAAGTTATACGAAAAATTTCTGATCAAGTTAAATTATATTCAAATATATAATAAACATAAAATATGTGCTAATGTTCGAAGTACCTAAAATAACTTCCAAAGCAAATTCCATTAGTAATTCAAAATGAATTTTGAAAACTCATTTCAGTTTTTAATCAATGTATTATCAAATACTAGTAGCTGTTATAACTTTAAAAATTAAACTCAGTTATTAAAAATTATTGAGCTTTAAAATATTTTTATTATTTTTAAGGCTCTAGATATACTTTTTGAGAGTTCTTCACTGCTTGAGAAACTGCACAAAAATACAAAGATGTTTAGATCTGCTATTAAAGCATGTGGATTGGATGTAATAGTAAGCATTAATTTTTCTTGATATCTGACAGATTTTTCTTTTTGTGTATTTTATATTTATAAATAAGTGAAAATGATTTGAAATTAATTCTTTTTGTTGTAAAGTTTGTGTGGAAATTTAACTTTGAATTTAGTAGGAATTAAGTTGAAAACTAGAAACTGAATGAAAAAAAAAAAAAATGCAAGTTTTAATTTAAACAAATAATTCTGAAACATTAGCTGCTAAGAAAATTTATATGTAGTAATGTTGTTTTTCTGCTAAAGCGTTTAAGTAAAATAAAATGAAAATAATAAATTTTAACATTTGCCTGGATGCTTTAAATGTAAAAATTGTGTTTCAGAGACAAAATAGCAGTCTTAATGATACAACTGTTATTTTCTTGTATGCTGAAAATTCAAATTATTTCTGGAATGATGGTTCACTGTTCAAAATTCATTTGATAAGTGTCATGAAAATATCACTTTTTATAAGCATTTTTTATGATGCAAATATCATTGTTGAGAAACATTATACTTGTCATATATAAAGTGGCAATTCAGTAGCTCATTGGCTAGAAGTACTAAGCATTGATAAATAAAAAATCTACCTACTTAATGTCATTTTAGTGATAAATAAAGTACAAAATTGCACCTGTGAATGAGCCTGAATCACTGTTATATTTAAATTTTACATTAAAATTTATATTTACATTGTTTTGAATTTAATAAATATTGTGTGTGTAATCTGGTGTAAGGGGAAAGAACATATTTTTAAAAAGATTAACTCTTTTGCAGTTGGAGCTTCCAAATATCTGTTTGTCCAGATATCAGCTAATTGGCCCTTAATACTTTCCTCTTAATGTTAATGCATGGCTGATTAGTTTTCCAGATTTGTAATGATTAATCAGTCTTTTTTGGTAGCTGTCTGATTATCTTTTGTATCTGTATGGCTTAGTGTCAGCACTTCCCCTTCTTGCTGCTATTCTGCATTCTGGCCTTATACTGCTACTTTTGTTTTAATTTGCTGAAGGAAAGAAATTGAAAAGTATTAGTGCATAGCAAGGGAAAAAATAGCTACTTCAATTAAGAAAACAGTTGTTCACATTTTGTCGGTGTACTTAGAGAAGAGGAAATTATCTGGAAGAGAAATTCATAAACATGGCTGTTTAAAAATTTTGAACAGTTTTTGAAGTTGTCCAATACAAAAATGTTAAGGAAATTATTTAAATTTACCTTTTGTAATTTATTCTTAATTTTATGGTATACACTTCTTATTGCTAGCTTGGTATATTTTTTATTTATAGGACCATCATTTTTAACTTTTTACTAATCTGAAATTCTTGCTGTTATTTAATGTTTCTGTAGAACTTCAATGTTTGATTGCCTAGTTATTATTGACTGCTAATTAGTTTTGAAATATGATGTATTTTGAAAATTTTCTCCATATAATAATTGTAATTCTGAAACTGCAGGGAGATGATCATCCAATATGCCCAGTAATGCTAGCAGAAGAAAAATTAGCTATGAGCATGGCTGCTAAAATGTTAGGTATGTATATTTGACCGTTTTATTCTTAAAAACAAATAGTTAATCGAGTTTTCAAAGTATTTTAAGAAAATACTAACCTGTTAATTACGGAAGACTATTAAAATGAAAATTATGCAACTGAAAGAACAGATTTGTAATTAAAAATATATATATTTTTTTAACATCTCAAAGAAGTACAGTCAAAAGTCGTTAATTCGGACACCCATAATGCGGAATGTTCTATAATCCGGACCTCAAAGCTAAAAACTTTCTGCGCATGCACCGCGTTGACACATGCGCATAGGCGTTTACGCGTGCGAGTAAGACCTTTTACCACTGCACATACGCGTGTGCGCAAACGCAGAATACGTTTTCGCGTGCGCGTTTTATGTATAACGGACGGTATCTCTAAATTATCTAATTATCTATTTCATTAATGTTAATGCTTGCATTGTTCCTTAATTCGAATTGGATCCGGCTTATTATTTTTTGCAGACGTAAGAGCAATTTTATAAAAGTAACTTGAACTTTCGATTATGTCAAATAGAATTTTCCGATGCTGGAGCTCCCAAAGGATCGTACAAAACGAAAGTATGTTTTTGATGTCCATCAAACAAAAAGTGGAATTGCTGCAAAAAATGGATAAAGACTGAAGAAGGTGACAGAGAGGTAGTGAAACGAAAAATTTCATTGACAAGTTAGTCGGTATTCTCGGCACCAATTAACGGGACTTGAACAGCGGAACTTTGTTACTGAACAAGAAATTATGTCTGTTTATAGAATTAAAGAGAAAGTATTATCACATAAAAAAAAGCACTTAAAACACTTACATTGAAAGAAATGTTTAATAAAGTAAACAAATAAATATTAAGCTTTTTTTTTTTTTTGTAAATTTTGATACCCTTTAGATATAATTGTTCTTTATTTCATAATTAAGGTTTCATATTTTTAATTTAGAATTTCTTGCATGCCATCTTACGAGATTTAAATGATGATCTATAATCCGGAAAATTCGATAATCCGGAATCGCCGAAGTCTCGATGAGTCCGGATTAACGACTTTTGACTGTATTTCTTTTCTGTGAATTTTCCATCTTGGAAAAATAGAAATTGTTGCCTCTCTACTTGCAGGAAATAATTTATTGCCACTGAAAAAATGCACAGTTAAATTTTTAAAATACTAAATTAATACAAAATACTAAATTCTATACATGGCACTAATTATAGTGGAATGATAATAGCAAGTTTTCATATTTAAATTTTTGAATTCAAATTTTTCCTTTCAAACAATGTTTATTCAGTATAAATTTTTTAGTTTAATTATTCATTAATTATAAAAATTATGTAAGATAAGAAAACTGAGTGTGAATTAGAGAAGTAACCTAATAATAAAATTTAGAAGAAGCTAAACTTGTCATGTTGGATACATTTGTTAGATAAAATTAGAATGCAATTTGCCAAAAATTTGTTAGTGAAATTAAAATTTCTTGTTAATTTTAACAAAATAAGCTAAATAATGTAGAAAACACAGTTTATAAGGTTTTAATTCTTCTTTTCTGGCATAAAATTCATATTTTATAAAGCATATAAAATATTATATAGTTATTTTTGTTTGACCATTCAAGAGTAAACCATACTACAAGAAATGTTTTATAATCACTGATAATTTGAAAAATCTTATACAGAGCCTTATCTAAATAATGAATTTTATTAATAGGAATAAAACTGAATTTTTAGTGGAATTTGTGATGAATTAGCATGTTTTATAAACATTAGTAGTATGAAAGTATGTAAAGTAGAATGGCAACTACTGAGATTGTTTTATGTGATTGAGTATTGTACATAAAATTAAGCAAGCAGTCTTTACAAATCTTTACTAGTAATAGCAAAACTCTTAGTAGCAACAACTGACAAATAACATTTCCAGAGTTAACTCTTCAACATGACTTTGTAATTGTTTTTAAAAACAAGTGATTTATATACACTTCAGTGAGAGAAATTGATTGTTTCAACTTGTAAAAAATATAGTTTCTACCTTTAATTGTTTCATCTTCTTATTTTTTTTAATGTCTGAAGCACTTAAAACACCTTGCAAAAGTGCCTTAAAGCTGTATGCTATTTCAAAATTAGTCAATATTTTTCTGCAGCCATTGAGTGAAGTAAAAGCTGAATGCTCTTCTCTCATCTTTTTGGAAAGCAAAAATCTTCTTTGGATTTCTTTCATTAAAGAAAAAGCAAGTAGTAATGTATGTTTTTCATAAAAGTGGAATGGCAGATGGACAGAGGTTACCAATAATAAACTGCAAGTGAGATATATCCTACTTTATGGAAGTTTTCTACACTTTTATGAAAAAACTATATTATTCTCTCTTTTGGTTTATGCAAGAAATTAGGAGAATTTTTCGGCTCTATGTACAGTTGTTTTATCACAATGCGAGAAATATACATATATTTATGCAAATTTTTCATTATTTAATTTTTTCAAATATAATGCAAGACTCTTAACATTTGGTGGCAAGAGTTTGAAAAGTGAAACGGACATTTATAGTGAACCAATGCAAAACAAAACAATAGTCCTTCAGGGACAAAGCCCCTGTGGACTAATAATATTAATATAATTATAATCTGATGATTCTAATCAATGATCCTCTGACTTAGTACAAAAGAGAGGGGATCTTTCCCCAAAAATGTTTTAATAAAGAAACTGAGAATACTCACCTTGAGTTTTCTTACTTATGTTTTCAGTAAGTGTATTCTTTGATGGTGAAATATCTTCTTTAGAAGAAAAATCTAAGATTGACTTTAATTCTAAAAATGGCTAAAATCTAAGATTCCCCTGAATTCACAACAAGGATCTAATATTTAATAATGCAATTAAAGCACAATTTACAGCTTTTTACAAAATACACTATTCACTCAAAATTCTACACAGCTACAGTTCGAAATCAAAAAGTTCTCTGCAAACTTACAGTTACAGTTTCAGAGGTAGGGGAACATTTGCAATAGGGTCATTGAGCTATCTTAGTTGTTTAATGCATCATCGTGAGTGTCATCAACTTGCTGTCTTCCAGTGTGAAAAGTAAATGTTACATTATCTTCATTTATTTGAGATGTCCCTTTATCGTACAAATCTTGCTTTCAGTATTATTTTAGGTTTTTATCTGTTCTTTTTCTTCTTACTTCTTCAATAGGTATCGGAAAGTTAAAATTATTCCAAAATTTATTGATGTTTTTCTTTGCTTTTATTCTTTTCAGTTTTTAAAGGATTTCACAAGAATATTTGTTTTCATAAAATGGGATAACATGCATTAAAATTTAACCCCTGAATTGCATGACCATCTTTATCTAGTTATGAGATTTTATTATTTAGTGTATATGATTTTACTATTTACAATATTTTGTTTTCTTTAATGATCTAAATAATTACATTATTGAATGAAACATTATGAAAACAGACTAAAACAATTAATTACACAAATTTAACGAACAAATGCTGTTGATTTACAGTTCATAAGCAGATCCAAAAAGCTGTGCTACTTAAAAGGTTAAATTGCATTATACAGATAACTGGGCAGCATATATTGTAGTACTTTATATAGATTGCTATCATGGTATAATTTGATTTACTTTAACTTTTTCTGTTCTACATTTTTCATTTTAATTATTTCAAGTATTAGTACTCTGTTTAATTACATATTTAGTTAGATAAAGGTGTATAATCCACAGTTATACAGACTATTTAAAAAAAGTGGCTATATATTCATTTCCTTATTATTCTAGGCATGTATCTCCAGTTATAAATGTTTCTGAAACTAATGTAGAAAATGCTTTTAAAACACTTTTAGCAGTAGGATGGTGTAGTAAAGTCAGAATGTAATTTTTTATATGATCTTTATAGAGGAAGAATTCTCATTTATAAAATGCTGTTATAAATTAAATATACAAGTTCCATTGGATATTAATATTTTTACACGCTTGACTAGAGAAAATTAGTTATAAACCTGTTTCGTCTAATATGGAATTATTAATTGCTCACAAAAGCAGTTTATGTTTTGTAATTTCTCCCTAAAGCTAATGAAACTCTTTTAATAGTAGGTATTAAAAAGTGATCTAAGTTAATAAATTCATTATCAAATATCTCTAAGTTTGCCTGGAAAAGTATGGAACTTTTTTCATTTAATTGATTAAGCAATAATGATCATTTTACATACTAAGACTCTTTAGCTGTATGAAAACCATGCAAAAAGTTTTGTATTTACAGAACTGTCTTTACTCAATTGTAGAAACTGGAAGTATAGACTTGGGATTAATATTTAAGGAAATAAAGCTTGTAGCCTACTTTTATGACTCTGTTAGTATGAGCTATCTGTATTAAAACCAGACATTATCAATTTTATGGTATTAATTTGATATAAAAATGCATGCAATTATTTTTCCTGTGGAAAATTTGTGTGTGATTAAAGAAGAAATTAAAAAGTTCCTTCAGTATGTTAGTTAATCATGCTCATTTATAAGAAATCAGAAATTTCAATGGAATCATATTTACAGCAATATTAAAATCCTGAAAACAATGGGTAGAACATTCAGAGTGATGTAATTCTTTTGGCAATGTTTGTGACACTGTGTTAATTTTGCGACATCAGAGAACATGAAAAAAAAAAAAAAAAGCTTCTTTAATTAGTTTTCATCCTGACATATACATAATTTCTATATAAAGAAACCCTTAACCCTAAATTAGGAGGAAGTATAAAACTACTCAGTTAGGAATGAAAAAGTAATTTTGATAATTTAGTTAAAATTTGTTTTCCAATTATAATTAGAGATCCAAATTATATTAATGAAAATGCTATTTTACATTATAATTTAAAAGATTTTCTAAATTCTGTGCCCTAGAGAGACTCGCATTGTCCTATTTCAGAAGCACACGTGAAAGATTTCTGTCTTTCCATATAAAGAAAAATTATTTCCTTTCTGGAGATCATAGTAGTATGGAGTTTGATTATGTAGCTATTACTTTATTGTTCTGAAAATACATTATTTTATTATCATAATGAAAACACTATTTTACATTATAATTTGAAAGATTTTTTAAATTCTGCCCTAGAGAGACTCGCATTGTTCTACTTTAGAAGCACATGTGAAAGATCTCTGTCATTCCATATAAAGAAAATGAGGAAAAATTATTTCCTTTTTGGAGATCACAGTAGTATGGAGTTTATGTAGCTATTACTTTATTCTGAAAATACATTATATGTTTTTTCCAAACTGTAATGTAATTTTTTTAAACGCTGTTATTAAGTGTATTGTTTAATATTTTTGTATATATTTTAGATCAAGGTATATATGTTATTGGCTTCACATATCCTGTTGTTCCTAAAAGTAAGTTAATAAGATTAAATTTTAAATATTGTAACAATAATATTTAAGAATATTTTTTGAATTAACCTTTCTTTTTAAGATCGAGCCAGAGTTAGGGTGCAGATATCTGCAGCCCATGATGAGATAGATATTGAAAAAGCTGTGGAGGCATTTTACTCAGTTGCTAAAGAAATTGGAGTTAAATAAGATCTGAAAGCATTTAAAAAATTTTACTTCTGTAAATAAAGGAAGTTCTGTTGTGATATCTGTTCCTGATCTGATATTAATGGACATTTTGACTTTGTAATATATTATACAAATTAAATCTATTATTTATATACAATCAAATTTAGAGTTTTGTTTATTTCAAAATACTTTATTTGATTGTTATATTACATGTACTTAAAAAAAAAAAAAAAAAATACTGAGAGGTGTATTTTGACATGTGAAAAATAACCTAAATACTTAAAAAAATTAACCATAAACATTTATTAAAGAATTTTGATTATTGTTTCTTGATAGTCAAAATAAAATAAATTTGTAATAATAGCAAGTTTTATCGTATCATGGATCATCGTGAAAACACAACTGAAGCTCACTAGTCGAGCATCTCTGAAATCAAGTATTGTTATTTCTTGCACAAGTTTTAGCATAATCTTTTTATTTAAAAATTTACATTATTTTAAGAAGGAAAAAAGTTCTTTGATGTAAAATAGGCAATATCATAATTATAGCAACCATACATATGACAAGTCTAACCATTTAGAATGTGTACAATTGACTTAAGGATGAAATTATAAATGCCACAGAGCACTACATGCATCCAGGAAGTCGCAAAACAGCTTATTATTTAAATGTATTTTCTATGTGGTAAAGAAAGAAAAAATTCTTTCATGAAGGCATCTCATTCTTATGTTGCAGTCTTGACTGCATGTAATCAAACTGAATTATAATTTAAAAACAGCAATAATCATTAACAAATAGCCAAGTTTACTGCTTTTATGTTTTAGCTATTAAAATGAGCTGCTACTTTGAATAAAAATAGGGTCAAAATTCGAAAACAAAGTAATCAGGGATAATTACTTACTGCCATTTCAGCAGAAGCAAAATATAAATATGATTATTAACAAAACGTTAATTTTACTAAATAAAAACATGCAAAAACTTAAAATACTTGAAATTAAAAATAATTATTACTTATGCAATAATTGGGCCACTATAATAGGAACCCAAATATATTATCATTAACCACTTGTTGACTAAGGCATAAACCATTTGCTACTTTTTTTAAATTTATATTAATTTACAATTTAGCATCTTTTCATTCTTGCAGAGTTTTCTGTTGAATTAAATTTAATACCAAATCTGTTCATTTACAGTTTATCACCTGCAGTTATTAGGGTTACAATATGACTTGCAACTTTAAGACCTTGACGTAAATTTACAGAACAAGATTTTCTTTAGTAATTATATGGAAGAAAATTTCATTAACTTTTAAATTCTGTAGATCATTATATCTTTCAAAAATATGAAAACCTAAAAATGAACTTGCGTGCATGGCCATAAACCATTATGTAAAAACTGTGCCATATCTTTTTCTTGTTTATCTACATTTGTGACTTTCTAATAAAAATTATTTGTTTTGAGACTTTCATATGAAATATATATAAAAAGTGAGAATTTAGCAAACATTCTCTATTTGTAAAAAGCAAATTTAAAGTTAATTAAATTTTAAATGAAATTTAATTACAAATTGAAATATACAATTTGTGAAAATTTACATTCCAGTATGTTTTTTGAAGCAGGACTTCAATGATTTTTGCATATACAGTAAGTAGATCAGAAATCTGAATTGCATTATGCAGATTTTATGTTACAAGAAAGAAAGTTCCATAAAAGCAATGTGTTTTTGTCATTATTATATGAAGCTGAACTCTTCTCCCAGATTGTATACAGTCACACTGATCAGTTATATAGTTGTTTTAAAAATTTCAGATATTTTATTTTAAAGTCAAACTTTCATTAAATGGCATTTTTTTTTTAATATTCTCTAGATCTTTAATGATCAGAATTTTTACCCTGAATTTAAAGCACTCAGTTTTGTCATTAGACATTTCATATTGGTCTTAAACTCATCTTAATTTATCATAATGTCATCATCTGGAATCACTTATTCCTTTTTTTGCAAACAAAATATTTTATTGGATCCTAAATCATTATAAGTCATTATCTCAGTGTTTTTGTAAAAAGTAACTATGGCTACAAGTTGTACCGGATATAAGTTGTATCACTCATTTACTGAATCAAACTTGGGGGAAAAAAGTGTTCATGATTTATTGTGAATTTGATTTTTCTATTTTTAAATGTGAATTCATTTATAAATTTATGTATTATGTATAAAAAAGCAGCATAACAAGAATAAGATAAAAATTTTTTATTGAACAACATGCCTAATAATGCTGCGAACAAACAGTACAGTTTTTATGATCATAAAATTATAAAGTACATAAGCATTTTGATATGTAAAGCATTTATTTCATGCCATATCAGTTTTGCCTTAAATTTATCAAAATCCTTATGTGTATTACAATAAAAAAAATTCAACATCATTATTATCTGAATTACCGGTTTAAAAATAACAAAACAATCACATTGTGCGCTAATAACAGCATTATTGCACCTCTGCTGTAAGTTCATAAAAAAGTAAAAACATGATTTTTTAAATAGTCTTGGATGGATGAATAAAGTTCAGCATCTTCTACAAAAATTTTCCCAAGACATTGTTTTTCATGAACAGATTTTTCACAATTTATGGACATTTACACAATTATGATGAATTTACTTTTACAATGGTAAGAAATTTTATTTCAAATTTTTCAGTTTAATAACTTTAAAGAAAATAACATGCTAAAAATTAATATTTTGTTGTGGTAATATGTAGTATTAATATATAATTTGATGCAAATATTAAAACAAGAGCAATGTATTTCAGAGCAGCGAGGAAGATCTTAAAAAGGATACAAATATGCAAAATTTTAACCAAGATTAAAATTTAAAACAAGAAAACCACACTTGTAAAATCAAGCATTACTTTAAGTAAAGAATAGCTTGTTAATTTCTAATTATAACAGATACTGATAAATGTTTCTTAGTTATTCTTTTATAATTTGCATGATAATCGTCAGGTAAAAATTTTGTAGCAGAAAATAGTTTTTGCAGTTTATAATTAGAGAAAACAAAAGAATGAAAAAAAAAGGTCATCCACAAGTATGATTTTCTTGCAGAAATTACACTGAACGTTGCTCCCAATATGATCTGCGCAAAGATATTTGTACATAATAAAATTCCATTCAACTTCCTTTCAATGAAGTCCTGAGTCATTTCAATATTGGTCTCAATTCTAATATCTGAAATATGATAAAAGAATTAATTTCACAGAGCAAAGTTTTTTATGTTACCTAGTCATTTCTAATAAAATATCTGTACTTATATTAACTTCAGTAAAAACTTCCCTTCCCCCCCCACACTAAATGAAAACATGCAAGTTTTAATATATGCATATACAACATACATTAACAATATTTAAACGGTAGTAGTTAACAGCATGTTTTTAATTTTTCAATATTTCTCAACTTCTAGAACTAATTTTTTAAAAATTTTATATAGAACTACCATTTTGTGTAATAATGCAGTATTTTTATTTTATGTAATTAATATTAACTAGCAAAATACATGTAAATTTCAGTAATTAGAAATGACAAAATTTACACCAGATGTACTTAAAAACCTAAAAATAACAAGCAATTACTGCAGTAAATTCAGAAATATGAAAAGAAACTTCGGAATTTAAAGAACTTAATGAAGGAAGAGATGCATGCAGTGTTAATGGAAGTAACAAGGAAATATAGTGAATAAACAGCAATACTGATAATGACAAGGAACAAATGTAAATGGTTTGTAAGAAGTTCAGCGGACACTAAAAAGAGCCGTAAAAACTAGACCATTAAACATATAGGCTTGAGTGAGTGAGTGAGAGATTATGGCGCAAAACCAAAGATGATTATAGTGCGCCACATATAGGCTTGAAAAGAAATGGAAGTAGAAATATAGGAGCAATCTAATTTTCTTCTGTGAACTTCCAATCACAGAAGAAAAATAATGGAGAAGCTCAGAATGAAGAAAAAATGTATTTTAAGGTTGTAATCTGTTAGATGTATATTTACAGCAAGGGTGGATATCTGCCTAAGTAAAAAGACAAACTGATTTAATTTTTGCATTTAAACATGAAGAAAACAAACTACTCATCTGGCAGAAATTTATTTTCTGCCAGGAAAAAACAAACCTCTCATCTGGCTCAAATAATTACTGATGCATGGTTTGAGCTACTTAATCACATTAAAGCTTCTGTAAAGCATAAGAAAATATTTTTGAACTTCTCCACGACTTAAGAACATTAATTACTCTAAGTTCCAAACATTTACAAAAGCTAATTCACTTGTTATTTTATTGTACACTCTACATAAAAGATTTATACATCTAGAAAAACTGTTCAATTATAAGGGAAGCTGACACAAGCAATAAGGCAACAGATGAAGGATGGATTAAAATTGTCTAGCAATCAATCCATGTATTCAGTAAACATATGTTCAGAACCATTATATATTAAATATAATGTGCGATTACATATTGTATTAATGCACAAAGCTATTCAACCTAGCATGAACTCGCACAAGTGTTGAATGCTGTTGTGTGGAATTTTTCTGCCAAATATTCTACAGTTGTTCAACAAGTCCACTCATGTTGCAAGATGGTGCAAATGGTATCATAACATATCCTATATATTAGAACATTTGACATTTCCTGTATTAGATTGGAAAGAGTTTTGAAGATCTAACATGTCATGTCAAAAGTGGGTTGTGACTCTAGAAAGGCATTTCCTTTTCATACGTGCAATGCTAGCAAGTATTGCCTTTTGAAAGATAGCCGGTGACAGATACAACAGCAGTGGCAAAACAGTAGGTTGAAGATGCCATTATATCATCATCAAAAGTACAGCAAAGAAACACTTAAGTACTTGCTCCTAAAATAGTAACCCACCAAGAGATTTTTTCTGCTCCGCAGTGACATATTATGAGCAGGACTGACTACAGCTCCTCCATATACAATCAGTCATCTAAACTAAAACATGATATATAATCAGATTTTTTCAAACAAATTTGCAATGAAGATATAGACTAAACAGTGAAACGTTACAAAAAATTTGTGCCTTGAGAGAGCATCAACAATTTTACAGCCAAGAATTTAGACTAAAACTTTCTCCCTTTCTTCTCAAAGCAACTCTATGAGATACAAAATTCTTTCACAAATAACTAATATGTACAAACAAATATATATATTAATTTAAATGACTTTTATAAACCAATCAAATACTGGCAATGCAATTAATAGTTTGACTATGGTAAAGCACTTGAGGACTATCTACCTAAAGGGCGGACTTTTTAAGGAAATCTGGTTCGTATACACATTACATATGGGAAAAAGTCACAAAAACACTGATGTAGCCAACTTGTTCAGTGGGATTCGAGCCCTGGATCAAACATCAAGCAACATTATCGCTCTGCTGGCAAAGCAATTAAAGCTGTGAATATGAGATTAAGATTTTCAAGGAAGTATCAAAACATCATCTTAAATAAATGTTTTGATACTTCTTTTTACAAACAAAGATTACCTTCATTAAGTAGTGCATTTAAGAGGGAGGAGAGGAGATTATTTGGTATTGAATTTTTTTATCAGTATTGACAAACAACTATGTATGACTTTAATTTCAAAAAATCGTTTTCTTATACTCCGTTAAGTCTGGTTAAAACTGAGTGTAGTTAGATACTGAAAGTTCTGATATGGATTTTAGAAAAGGATTACTTTATTTTGTAGTTTCTGGATACATTCGTATGGAAAATAATGCTAATATTATTTAAATATGAATAATAATTGGAAATTACAAAAAAGTAAAATATGAAAAGTCTGAAGCACATAGATTTGTTCTGCTTTCGCAGAAAACTTTTATACTTGCAAAATCTCAGAAAATCCCCTGAAAATCTGAGAAAAAATCACTAAAATTCATGGCACAATAAAGTCACTACCATGTCGATGAATCATTATCAGACATAATATAGCTACACTGTACACATTCCAAACTATGGCTAGTTATAGTTTATTTCACCATATGTCAGCCATGAGCTGATAAATGTTGAAATAGATACCAATAACAATTCAGACACCCTTCCTACAATAGTGTATCATGATACTATGTATTCCAGAAGATGTAGGTAAATTGTTTGAATGGTAGATAGCAAAGCTGCCGATGCACTTAATGGTATATATCATTACTGTACATTTCTCCCAAGAAATTCCCATTCTAGGACTAGAACTGCCTTTATAAATAGTTATGACATTTTTTGAACCTCATGCAAACAAGTTGTCAGTATGAGCAATCAGTTTCTCTGAAGATGATGATGACATCTTGTCAAATTTGCAAATGAAAATGAAGTAAAGCACATGACTGTGCTATATACCATTATTAGATAGGTTTTGGGTCTCTCATTTGCTAACATAAATACCATCTAAGCAGTTTTGCCAATGGCACAGTAGAAGAGCAATATACTTCATGTGTATTTTGGAGCATGTACTTTTTAGACATGTTATACCTGTTCTGCATACGTCAGCCTAAGGCATGTTATATTTCGAAACTGCCAGACAATTTTTCTAGATGCAAAAATACTTTTGATATAGAGTATATTTCCTTACCAAAATGGATGAATTATTTAAATAAGGCAAAACACAAAAGAATTATTGGCTGAAAATTCACTCCACTTTTGACCTACAGCACCCAAGTAAATGCAATATATGATCTTGTATATTCTTCCCCATCAACTTCTTAAAAGAATTTTGCTATCAGAAACTGAATTTAATCTGTACAAAATCTTCAAAAATTATATTATAGCAGATAACTATGCATACTTATAAAAATAGATTTCAAACGCAATTACTATAATTATGATTTTTATGCAAAATAATTTTAGATATTAACTATATATACACATACGAGAAACATTTTAATAAATTGTTGTGCATATAATAGCCTTGTGCAAACATATAAAGTAAAACTATGTATATTTTAAAGAAAAACACAACTATATTTCTGTAAAATAGGCATTTCAAGGCTGTTGTCAGCCCTCCCTATATGCAATAACATGTGTCATCATTATCACACAGTACTTATTTTCTCCACCTCAACTGAAACTGTCACTAAGTCAGCCTTCATTCATGCACGTTTTGTGAGGCAAAAGATCCTAAATGAAAATGGAATGGGGGAAAAATTACTCAACATGAATTATCTACTGCAGCTGCCATTCCCATGGTTACAAGGCAAGGGGCATGGCAGAAAATGATCCTGAAGTTCCTGTTGTAAAGTAACAGACTATAGTTGTTTATTATAGTAAAGTACAGAAGAGGTATATTTTTAGAAAGGGATACTTTCACAAAGGATTTTCTAAGGAAAATATTTTACATTTACATACAAAAATTCTATACACTCAGGTAGCCAGATTATTCTGTTCCCATAAACTGAATCCAGAATGAAATTATCAGTGTTCTGTAGCTTTAGATATTCGGCCACATGTAGAGTTTACATTTCAAGTCAAAATTGCACATAATTACTGCATATAAGCTGAAAAATTTTCGTACTTTTTCTAAAGCTAAATTACAGTGGTCAGCTTATATATGGATCCATTAATCTCTCCAAAGACATAGGTACTTTTCTATTAGCCGGGAGCAAGCAACTTTTGTCATATGTTGCGTTTTTGATTTCTTTAGTTTATGTGTCCTAAGTTTATGAAAAAGAATTACACATGAAATGATGAAAATGAGTTGTTTTATTTTTGAAATAGTTTATAATGCTGGTTTGGAGTGTCATTGCCAACATGAAAAATCTGATACGGGCAAAATTTGCATTCCACTTTCTCCATTCTTGAATTTGCTTTTCATTTATGGATAAAATGCTGAGCAGCCATATTATTAAAATTTTCATAATATGTGATCACCTATAGTTTGAAATTTACCACATAAGAATTTCTCTTCCTATTCATCTTTTAGACAAAAAATAAAACTAGCACACAAACCACAAATCGTATATAAGGCAACAAATTAATGGTAAACGTGCTAGCTTCAGATAGGGTTATCAGAGTTTAAACTATCATCTTTAGCATCTGTCACTTGGTAACATTTTCACCATCATAGCGACATGTGTGAACGTTACAGGATATTTCTTCCATTTCAACTTATATACAATTTTAAATTTTGGATCAATTTTTGAAGAAAAAAACATATCTTTCAATTTATACACAGGTCA